GGAATGCCCCTTCCCATTGCAGTGTGTTGTGGGACCAGTTGGATTTGTTTGGCTGTAATGTCAATCCCTACCTTTAGGTGTTTTGAACTTGTGATTTATTTATGAGTCTCATCAAACACACAGGGCTTCTGTGCTTATGGCTAATATCAGAGAGGGCAAATGCTTATCCTCTCTTCCTTCCCTTCCATACATATATCCTGTGGGCAAATACGGAGGTAAAGGCATCTCCTAAGCAGCCCAGAAGTGAGCAGTTAGTTCTGTCACTTGCTGCAGGCACAGCTTCACGATGTGATATTGTTTTGGCAATGACACACATTTCATAGCCTAACCCTCTAAACAGTCGTCCTTCATTGCTACCACAGATTATACCTTGCAGCTTCCAGAGCTCCCACATATTATCTGCCCAGCACATTCAGACGGTAACTGCTCTCACTTCCACCACAGGAGTTACATGCAGGGATCAATGAGATTACACTAGCACACTGTAAGCGTGAATTCTCCTCCTGGTAATTGCTACACTGAACTCCATACCTTGGTTGCTCCCCGGAAAGGCCAGTGCGCTGTCACTTGAATCAGATGGGTTTTCCAAGCGACGCGGTGGTGGCTGCATTAGCTGCTGCCCTTCCTCTATCTCAGGGTAGGTGCGCACAGTCAGACACAGCGAAGGCTGGACAAGGGCATCTTTCAGCAAAGCTGAGTCTAGATCCTCAGCTGCTTTCTTGTTAATCTCCACAATTTCATCGCCAGCCTTCAGGCCTGCAATGCAGAAAGGAACAGGTGAGACTTGCACAGTAACTTTTCTGTTACCCACAGACATCAAGGAGTTCAACCAGGTGTTTATGAAGTGCCAGACAGTGTTGTCTAGACATAAAGTAAACATTTATGACTGAAAATTATTTTGAATTTTGACAGACTGATGTGAGATCTGTTGTCAGGCTGGTACTCCAGGATCGTCCCTAAGACTGTGGTGTCCAGGAAGTCACTCACAACACACTAGCAATAAGATACCCCCTTTTTATTCCCATCTCTCTGCAAGCAAACAGCCATTGTACACCAAGCCACACTGCACAACATATTGCTTGTAAATAAATGTATACTGAAGGACAGAGGCAGACTTTGGAGCTGCTGCACACAGGACAGGAAGAATGGAGAGACTAGGCTGGATTGATTCTTGCTTTTAATTTCCCATACATGTGAAGGCTCCTACTGGAAGTTGTCCCCTATCCATACACCTAGGAGGAGAGAAAATGTTTTCCACTCAGCTGAGGCATATGGTGTAGAACTTCAGATAGCCTCTTTGGCTCTGTCTGAATCATGTCCTAGACCAGAAAACTTTTAAAAGGCAAATTCTAGTGCTTTGTAACTTAGTAATTTTTTTTTTTCCAATCTGATTTCAGAAGTTATTTATAGCACCAGTGCCCAAGGGAAAACAGAATCTGCAGAGGAAACAGCTGACTCCTGCTTGCTTTAGGGGTGACACAGCAATGCCAACAGACAATGTGCAGCCCTTCAAGGTGCTGCAGGAA